TCCAGAAACTATTATTTTTACCGCACACTCAGCCACTTCTGTGCGCTTGGAGGGTTATTAGCACGTGTTTGAAACCCTTCTGTTCTCCTTCCTTTATGATCGCTCAAGGAATCAAATGTTTCTTTGGAGAACTTAAAACTCTTCAGAAACACGGACCCAAACTAATGTGCTTTTTGTAAATAAAAACTGCATCTAAGGTGTGAGCATGATGACCTGATAAACAATGGAGTGAAACGGTTACCGCAGCCAAGCTCACTGACATGTCTTCTCAGGGCCGCCTCCTCCGTGTGACGGGAGCCCCTGAAATCCACTCTGTTCAGCACACTTCCCCAGTCAAGGCAGTACCATATTAACTACAGTCATCAGGCTGCAAATTGTCATTGTTGTTAGGGTTATAAGTAAGGCAGCAAATGAAAATGAATCCCTTAGTTTAGAATGAAATGGATCTATTTCCAAAGGATGTCCTAGAGCAAAATCCACAACTTCTGTGAAGGCTCAAGTCCTGTGTGGGGAGGGGCAGGTCCCTGAGGTTGGGGGGCGTGTATTACCTGCTCTTTCTTATTCCCGGGAGCTAGTCAGGGGCTGTGCGTCCATAGGAAGTGATCAATAACTATTTTGAGCTGCTGGATATTAGAACTATTTCAATACTGTGAAGATCCATCCATATTTCTCTGCACAGTGACGGCTGACAGCTTGTTACTCATTAACTGTGTGAAGTTAGATAAACAACGCTTTGTTCCACACAACAATATCAGCGCTATTGGGATTGTTACAGAAATCAATGGGGAAATGTAGCTGAACTCCACCGAATTCTCTAGCACTCTGCAGGGACTCTCACTCGTACTCTAATTTTAATGCAAGATACTTGAAAGCTGGGGGGAAAATTCCTAATTTGTAAAACTCCTGAGAGAAATGGTTGTGTCTGCAACTAAAGTCCCAGGAAGGGACTACAACTGATGAGGCTGAACAGCCATCCCTGAAAGGAGCCCTGCCCGTGGCACGTGGAGGCCCTGAGGCCAGCCCATCACCCGTGGTCCTGCCTACCTGTCTTCACCAGACCGTGGCAGCTCACCTAACCCCGGTGACAGCAAGCGAGGACACCGCCTGCCCGCAAGGGCGGACGCGGGCACCGCAGCCCAGCGCCCTGGGGATCACTGCCCCACACAGTCATTCCAGGTGTGCTGGCACCTGCTTCTGGTGACCACGCCCCAGGCGAGGGGACTATCAAGTCCATCTGGAGCTGCAGAGGGAGGGCAGGAAGCAGGGTTTCGGGCGCAGAACCCCCTTTCAGTCGCCTCACTGAGCGCCCTCGCAGAGCAGGCCTCCTGCACGGCCTGCTCCCTCCACCTGCCTCTCAGGGACCGTGGGCTCCCCTGCCTCCTTCAACCTCCAGGTCACCTCAAATGTACAAGCTCAGGTGGGGCTGACCGAGGTGAGACAACTCGCCCAAATCACAGACTCAGTGAGCGTTTAAGTTGGGATTGGAGCCCAGGTCTGTCAAATGCGTAACTGCCACGCATCTCTGATGATCCCTGTACACCCGGGGAAGCTGTCCTTGAGCCGGTAACTCTAAAGGCATGTGTGTAACACATGTCCCGTGGCATCAACGAGTCCTATCTTACTCACAGACCAAAACATCAGAAGAGACACTGTAAAGGGTTAGTAGGACTTCCCGGATTCCCTTTCTGCATGGGGGGGGGGGGGGGGGGGCGCGGGGGGTTTGACCGGATGGTCCCAGGAAGCGCGGGCCCCACCCACAGGCTCCACTCCGTGCAGGGTGCCAGAGACACAGCCCAGCGGGGCTTTCACTCGAAGCTCCTGAGAGAAATCTGCAATCTAAAGTTTTCTAGTGACCACGTGGGGGAAAAAAGGAAAAAGAATCAGGTGGGATTCACTTGAATTAGATACAGATTTTACTTTTTGGGGATGTGGTTCACACTTGCAGCGTACCTCCGCTTGAACTAGGCCACATGCTGGTGGCCACCGTGACAAGCAGGGCAGCCTGAACTTTTGCTGGGACCAAAGAGCACTTTCACAACAGCTTTGTCATCTAAAAGTAGACCACGGAAAGAATTTGCAGCAATAGTGAACCATATAACTAGAACATGGAACATACTTCCAAATGGTGAATTGAGAGAATTACTGGCGTATGAAATTAATGTTACAGAACCCGAGCTGTGAGAATCATGGAATTTTAGCCTACAGACCATGGGGTGCTACATGGTGTTACTTATCTGTTAGTGACTAAGTGGCTATGAAGGCAGTTTGCTCTTTGAGAGTGGTGGCGGTGAATGTTGTTTGCCGAAAGGATCTCATGTAAAACTGGAAAAGCCAAGCTCTTCACTTCACTCGTGCATACCGACTGGGGATCGAACACGCAACCTGGATACGTGCCCTGACCAGGGACTGAACCTGCGACCTTTCAGTCTGCAGGGGAACACTCCAAACAACAGAGCCACACCGGCCAGGGCAGGAGAAGAAATCTGGATACACAAAGAGACAGCAGAGAGGCACATGCAGAGGGCACAGGGATGGCAGCCACCTAGGAGTCACGGAGAGAGGCCTCGCGAGAAACCGCATCTGCCAACACCTTGGACTTGGGACTTCCAGCCTCTGAACTGTGAGAAAATAAAGTTTTGTTCCTTGAGTCGGTGGCATTGTGTGGTGATGACTCCAGCAAACTAAGCCAGCGCGTACCCGGTTCTGCCTGCCATTCCGTGCCGGAGCGGCCCCACCTGGCCTATGGTGGAGCGCCTGCCTGCCGAGCAGGACACCGCCTGCGCCAGACAGGCGGGTCCGAGGCTGGCTCCTCCTCTGCTTGTGTGTGGCAAGGTCTTCAGCAAGTTACCTAATTTCTGTGGATCACAGCTTTTCTTTAAACGGACTCACGTCGACGTCACGGCTTACGAGGACTAACTGAAGATTCAGAATTCCTAACAGAGTCCCCGCACCAGCCAACGCGCACAGCTCTCAGACCACCCCCGTGCTCCTTCGGGGAAGGTGAGTGGTGGCGCGAAAGAGCTGGCTTCCAACCAGGCAGCTGGCTTTCGTGGTTCTTTAGGGGAGCCGTCCCTGACGCTCAAAGGGCTTATCCTACGTGACGCACTGGCCTCAAAACTGGCTCTGCCCCCAAGCTCACCCCCTTGTATCCGGCCTCGCGACTGTCACCCAACTAACGTCTCTGAATCCAAGTCCCAACACCTCGGTCCCCTGCACACGGCCTCTACTGGCTCCCTTGTGCTGCCACAGTGGCCTTGTCCCTGTCCTCATAAGGGGCTACGTGGGTGATAACTCCGGCCCACTGCCGCCGCCGCCCCCCTCTTCCGCTGCTGCCCCCGGCCCTGCCCCCCCCCCCCGCCCCGCCTCTGCTCTGCACAGCCACGTGACGCAGCCCGTCCCGCCTCTGGGCCTGGCTCTTCCTCCTCGGAAACGCCCTGCCTGTCTGTGGCCGCCGGACTCCTGTCCTCTCTCCTCTCTCCCCGTGACATTCCCTCAGTTTTCCCAAACACACTTATGGCTGCCTCCTGATGGAAATGCTGACTTTTCCTCAGACCGCTCCCAGGGGCTACCACATCACGCTCGTATTCGTTTCCTTCTAATCTGGGAGCTTTTCCAGGAGACGGTCTCTGTCTCGATCACCTTCGCACTTGCACACTGAGCACAGCGCCTGACACACAGCAGATGTTCAGTAAACACTGGCTACCTACGTGACCAAAGGAGCGAATGCTTGCGGTCAAGGACCTTAACGGTCCTCGCAGCTTAGAGTGGAAAGGCCCTGTCAGGTTTCCAAGTCGGGGCTCACATTCTGGACTAGTCATCTACTTCTCTGAGCCTCAGCTTCATCATTTGAGAGATGGAGAGACATCAATTCCGTGTGTGATTTTTTTTTGGCGAAGCACTTAACCTTATGGTCTGTGTCCCCCTTTCCTTGATTAATACAGCCCTACCCTCTCCCTAGAGCGCTGGACACCTCACTGAGGTCCTGCATGTAAGGCCTTGTCTTGAGGTCACCAGAGTCAGGCCACGTGGGCTGTGCCAACGACGTCTAGGACACAAACACGACGCCCAAGGCTGCTACCAACAAAGACCAGAGGGCAAAGTTAGAAGGACACTCGATTGTTGCAAGTAATATAAGGAAATAATCTGGCAAGATAAAAAAGGAAATAAATTTTGAAACCCCTGTCAACCTCAGGATCGAGTGAACATATGAAAGTACCTACCTGCTCAAACCGTGCCCGGTACCCATCTGAGTTCAAAGCAGATTAAGGCTTCATCAGAGTAACCACAGAGTGCATAGTTTTAATGCTTCATGAAGCCAGTATTTTGTTTTGTGCCTATCTTTATTCTCCACTTAGAATTTTAAACATGAAGCAAGAGATTTCTAGGCACTTAGGGAAGCATTCTGAATGGAATAAACACTGATTTCAAACAGCAATGAACATCAAGGTATACATACCATCAGAAGAGGTAACTGTGCAGCCATTTTGCCTCTGATAACGTTTATTTCTGAATAAATACTTCTTTGGAAATGAATGCAAACTAACTTATTAATGGGAATCTGAAGTTGTTAGAAAACAGAAACACGTCTACTACGAAATGGAAATATTCTGTGATTCCAAAACAAAACTTTTGGTACTTTTTTCCCTGGGCACGGACAAGGCAGGACGTTCACCTCTTTCTGAGGAGAGTTTGGGCCTTAGGACCCGAGGAGGCAGACTTCTAAGATGTTGTTCCGCCTCAGAATGCACTGAACAGTTAAGCCCTTAGAGGGAACAGAATTCCCTTTTATTTCCCAAGCCTCATTGCTTGAACTCTTCAGTGAACGGTGGAGAAGGAATACCCGCCGGCTGGTGGGACAGAAAGTGTTTCCACAAAGCCAAGCAGGCCACGTTCAGATGCCCTCCCGGGCCGGTCGTCACCGCCCTGTCCCCGAGTGTACAGATGTGGAAGGGCACGCAGCCGGTGCTGGGGCCCAGTGACGCGGACAGACAGGCTCTCACCTCTGGGCTGGGGCGCTGTAGCTGTTGTCATAGGAATCGTAACTCTGGTCGTCGTAAGCAGTGCTGTATCCGTCGTCGTAGTCCTACAACAGAACAGGACAAGCACAGACACATTCAGAGAAGCATCTGGAAAGAAAGGGGCGTTCTGCTTTTAGTGAATCCTTATTAATTAGATGCCACTGAACGAGGCATCTAATTACAGTGTGAAGGAACACAGGAATGACATCGATGAACAATGACGACACGGGGGTAATTTCCGAAAGCAGAGAGACACTGGCAGAAATGGTCAGCGTCGACATTTCCACAACTCTGGAAATTAACCGAAGGCTTGCAGAGGCCTAGGGAGCATTAGTTTTTTTTAATGGCCCGATCTTGGTTTTGTGCTGTTTTAACTTGTCCTATTCCCACCCCTCACCCTCGGCTGTGCAGGAACCTTGAACTCTAACAGCCACAATCCCTATGGAAAACATAGGCCGGGGGACACTGGAGGGGACAAAGCTGTATCAAAACCCCGTTCTCAGCGGGATGTCTTTATCTGATACGGCTTGGCGCGCACCCCATGAAAACCCCTTTTCTCTGGGGGTATTTGAAGATGATAATCAGAGGAAGTTATTTAAAATTTCTGTTGCCTGAGGTGGTGGTGAAAAACTAGAGCAAATAACAGGCTAACAAGAAAAAGCGGGGAAGGAGATGTCAATATGGGCTTGGAAAGCTGTGACATACGCCCAGGAACCTAAAAGACTGTGTGCATGCAGTGTCAGGTGTGCGCCCAGGAGACCTGACAAGGCCCTGGGCTCTGCCCTTGAGCTGCCCCTGAGGTTCTGTATGAGAGAGAAAGACGAAGCTAAGACGGAGTTAGTTGTAAGTTGACTGGTTGAGTACTTAAAACATGCTCAACGGGCACACATATGCTCCTGGCAAAGACCAGGGGCTTAGTTTCTCATCATTCAGTAAAATCCCTGTCCTCTCATTAGCTGATCCCTAAGGTAACACAGGGGAGACACTCCAGTGACAACTCATAACAAATACAGGCTTTATAATACTTGCTTGAAAAAGTCACTAAACCAAAATAAAAACCAAAGAGAAATCCAGTGGAAGTAAGAGAATTTGATTTCCAGTTGACATATTATGTTAAATATCCAGTTTTAAACAAAAAAGTGACATGCAAAGAAAAATGCAAGTATAATCCCTACACAAGGAAGTACATAAACAATAGAAACTGTCCCTGAGGAAGTTGAGACATTGGACTTGTTAGGCAAAGACTTTTTAGATCAGTTATTTGAAATACAGGGTCCAGTAGAAGTAAGGCCTGCTTGAGTATGGTTGGCAGGGTAATAATGTAGGTGTAATAATTTATGGTTTTCATTTGCACATTTCACCTAAAATGTTATATGGTGTGCTTGAGTGTGGTATTGTTCTGTTACAGAATTACATACTTATGATTTTGTAATAAAAGATTTTATAATAAATAAGAGGCGCTATTTGTGCCAAAGTCTGTATATTCAAGGAACTAAAGGATGAGCTGCGTCTAAAGAGCTAAAACAAAAATGTATGAGAACAATGCCTCACGAAGTGAAAATATTAGTATGAATATAGGAAATAATTTCTGAAAATCCACAGAAATGCTTGAATTGAAAAGTGTAGTAACATCAGACCCAAAAATTCACCATAGAGGTTCAATAACAAATATGACTAGACAGAAGAAAGAATTAGTGAACCTGAAGATAAATCCATAGAGATTATCCAGTCTGAGGACGGGAGAAATGAAGAAAATATACGGGGTCTCAGAGACCTGTAGGCCACCAGCAAACATGGACATATGTATAATGAGCTACCCAGAAGGTGAAGAGAAAAAGGAGTAGAAAGATTATTTGAAGAAATAATGATTTAAAACTTGCCAAATTTGATTTTAAAGAAACCTTTATTCTACACATCCAAGAAGCACCACTAATCCAAGTAAGATAAACTCAACAAAAACCCTCAACTAGACATACTGTCTTCAAAATACTGAAAGACCAAAAGAGAAGGGTTGGTAAGAGAGAAGACACTTTTCATGTGCAAGAGATCCATAATAAGATCAGAAGCTGATTTCTTAATAGAAACTCTGGAAGCCAGAAGGCAGTGAGATCCCAAGTGCCAAGTACTGAAACAAAAAGACTGTCAACTAAGTATTCTCTATCTAGCAAAACTATCCTCTGAAAGTAGAGAAATTAAGATATTTCCAGGTAAACAAAAACTGACAGAATACAACATCAACAGAAGATATGCTCTATAAGAAATACAAAAAGGAGTTCTCCAGGTAAGTGACAGGTCATTAGATAGTAACTTGAATCTACATTTTAAAAAAACAACATTGGTACACGGAATTATTTGGGTAAATATAAAAGACAGGAGAAAATGTATTTCCTGTTGTATTTTTTTTATTCTATTTCATTTAAAAGACAACTGCATAAAGAAATAATTATAAATCTGTGTTGATAAACACACAAGGTATAAAGCTGAAATTTGTTTTGAAACACCACAAAGGTGGGGGTGAGAATGGACTTACAGAGAAGCAAAATTTTTGTGTACCGTTGAAATTAAGTTGATATAAATCTGATAAAACTAATACAAACTAATGTGTAAGTTGCAATCTGCAGGACAGGCTAAGAAAAAAATATTTTTTAAAAACTAGAAAAATAAATGACAATAGAATTAAAGTGATGCAGTAAAAGTATCTATTCAACAGAAAAGGAGGTAGTAAGGTATAAAAAAGACATTAAGACATATAAATATAAATGGATTAAACACACAATTTAAGGGCAGAAATTGGCATCTTGTTAAAAAAACATGATCCAACCACATGCTGTTTACAACAAACACACTTTAAATTCAAAGATGAAAATGTATTGAAAGAAAATAAGTGGAATAAAATATACCATGGAAATACTAATCAAAAGAGAAGTACTGCAGCTATACTATTATCAGACAGAATCGACTAAGACAAAAATTTATACCAGAGGAAAAAAAGGACATTTATTTACAGTGATAAAAGTGTCAATCTACCAAGAAGATAAAATAACTATAAAAATGCATGCACACATATTCAAAATAAACATTTATAACACCAACTCAGCCAGCATAAAACAAAAACTGAGAGAACTGAAGGGAGAAAAAGACAATTCAACAATAATAGTTGGGAATTTTAATGTCATACCTTCAATGATAAAGAAACTAAAAAAATCAGAAAAGAAATAGAAGATCTGAACAACAATACTATCCAATTACAACTATGAGACAGATACAGAACACTCTACCCAATAAGAGTAAGAATATACAATCTTCTCCATTATACTTGGAACATTCTCAATTATACATGGAAAATTCTCCAGAATAGATCGTGTATTTTCCCAATTCAAAATTCACTACAAAGCTAAGTGACCAAAACAGACCTACAGAACAGAATTGAGAGAACAGAAATAAACCCTTACATTTGTATAAGTATCTCGAAGGGATGACAAATTATATACATACATATGAACATAATCCAGCAAACTGCCTAACATGTACTAAGGTAATTTAATGGTAGGTAATCATTTTAGTAACTGGTATGTAATAAATGCATATTCCCATAAAAGAATAAAGTTAGAGTATTACCTCACGACATATACAGAAGTTAATGCAAAATGCATCATATGTACAACTAGAGCACAAATTATTAAACTCTAAGAAAAAAACAGAGGTGCAAATCTTTGTGATCTTGGATTGGTCATCAGTCTCTTAGATAGGCTGGAAAAAGCACAAACCACCTAAGAAAATAGAGAGTAAATGAACTTCATCTAAATTTAAAAGTGTCAAAGGACACTAGCAAGAAAGTGAAAAGGCAATCTATGTGATGGGAGGGAATATCTACAAATCACTTACCCGATGATGGTCTAGTGTTCATAACACACAGAAAACTCCTACCACTCAACAATTTAAAAAACCCAACAAGGACAAAGACATTCTCCTAGTTCCACTGGGGACAGACTTCAAACTGAGAAAAACTGAGGACATTCCGCAGTTCTGACAAGCACACGATGGTTATTTTAAAGGCATGATAGAAGCCTAAGATGCTCAGGGAAATGGTTACTCAGCGGCATTTACTTCTGTGAAAGTGCAGCCTGCCCCTCCAATGGTTTCTAAGTTTCCGGGGATAGTAAACTACTTAGTACTTTGGACTTATTAGTATCTAATTAATACTTAAATGAGCCTAAAATTAACATTGAAACATCTCAGAACACAAGTATTATCAATGCTAATGAATTTAATGATTAGCACCAGACCTTCTGAGGTAGAAAAACCTGGCCCTGGGGTAAGAGGAAGGACCTGGAGTTATAGGCAGTCCTGTAATTTACTACTGAGGGTTTCGGGGCGGCTTGTTCACTTGTGGGACTCTGAGCCTTTATCTGTACAATGTGAATCCTGGTTTGTATCTTGATGGGATGAGAAATGACCGTATTTTGCAGTGTAAAGTGCATACTTTTTTGCCCACATTTTGGGGGAAAAAATAAGGATGTACATTATACATGGGTAGTACTAATTCCGTATCTACCTTTTGCGATGTATAAATATTGTAAATTTGTGACAGGTACATAAAATTTCGTGTACTATAATATGTTCAAAAATAAATGATAAAATTCCTTTATAATACAAAAAAAAGTATCTAAATAAAAATAAATAAATAATTGCATTAAAAATGAAAACGAAAGATTTTTTCTCCCCTGAAAGTTTGGGCTAAAAACATGGGTGCGCATTATACATGGGAGCACATTATACAGGGCAAAATACAGTACATACACGTGTATCTATATTCCAGCAAAATGCCTGTCATGCATAATAACTTTGTAAAGGATAGTTTAAATTGTTGGCTATTAAAGCACTACCCATACAGGCTCTCTCCTAGATTTTAAAAATGACACAGCTCAGAATGCAGAGCATCAGAAGGCACCACCTGAACAGGTACGAGTCCAGTGGCTGACTTTGAAAGAGATAACCTTGTTTTCTTTTCAAAAGCGTCGACTAAATACTAGACTTCAATTTAGGGTGAATCAGGAAAACACAA